CCGACCCAACTTGGATAGGTCCTTTGCACAACTCACCCACAAACATCTACCCAAAAAATTTAAAAATAATTATATGTCCAGTGTATTATTAAATTCTTCCCAATACTATTAATTATAAATGGGATCTAATTTATATAAAACAAAACGAAATATTCATATTATTGTCAAAACTAAAACTGCTTTTTATGAAACACTATTCAATTATATTTCCTTCGACCATGTGGACTTGCTTGTTACTACTTTTCTCAACTTTTTTGAAAAATCAATTGGGATGGTTAAAATCTCTTACATGAATAAATAGAGCATTGGAATCTTGTCCATTCTAATGCTATATTTATGTTGTTTTAATCTTAGTTCGAGATTTTATATAAACCAGTTTGACCGTAATAAACTTATAGCAATTTTTACAAGGAATCTTATAGACACATCCATCAGCATTTTTGGGGGAGATTCTTATCTAAAAGTTTTTTTACTGTATCAAGATTTTTGAATACAACTTAATTTAAAAGTCATAAGAAAGAGAAGGCATATCAACCCCCAAGTTTCAGGTAAGGGAGAACCAACATATTTTTAGTTGTAATAAGGCCTGGTGCCCTTTTTGGATTGTAAAAAGTATTTCTAGAGCAATTTAAGAGATTTAGCAATTACATTTCATGGGTATTTTAAATCATTACCTATTTCATAAATTTGGATATTTCCTCCTCTATGACTCAGGACTAACAAACCGTAAGCTCTCAAAAACATTGATGAGAAAACAGACAGTTTGACTCTATCTTGATGCGAGGAATAATAATGGAACTTAGGAACAAGTTATTTGTATGGTTTTCTGTAAATTTTATAAATTTGAATTCATTATTACCCTTAATAATTAAAACACTAGAAAAGCAATGAGTTATTTTCTTCAAACTCACAGTAAAGTTTATAGAATGGGCTAAGCTATTTATTTTTCCAAGGAAATGGTGTATATCACATTTTTGGGCATAAGACACAAAATATCATCAACATATCTGAACCATTTAGCTTAGCCCATTCTATAAAACTTTACTGTTTGAGTTTTGAAGAAAATAACTCATTGCCTTTCTAGATGTTTTAATTATTAAGGGTAATAATGAATTCCAAATTTAAAATTTGACAGAAAACCTACAATAACTGTTCCTATGTCTAACCACTATTATCCTCAATCAAGATATAAGTCAAACTGTCTGTATTCATCAATGTTTTTGAGAGCTTTAACGAATTTGTAGTCCTGAGTTCATAGATGAGAGAAAATATCCAAAATTTATGAAAATAGGTAATGATTTAAACACCCAAAAATGTAATTGATAATCTTTTAAAAGTGCTAGAAATACTTTTTACAATCCAAAAAAGGGACAACCACCTTATTCAACTAAAAATATGTTGTTTCTCCTTACCATGAATACTGGTTGATATACTTTCTCCTTCTTAAGACTTTTAATATTAAAGTTGTATTCAAAAATCTTGATACAGTAAAAAAAAACCTTTGATAAAGAATCCCTCCCTTCCCCCCAAAAATGCTGATGGATGTGTCTATAAGATTCCTTGAAAAATTTGCGATAAAGTTAATACGGTCAAACTGGTAAAAATTCTCGAACTAAGATTTAAAACAACATCAAATATACATTAGACTGGACCAAGATTCCAATGCTCTATTTATTCATGTGAGAGATTTTAATTAACCATTCCCAATTATTTCAAAAAGTTGAGAAAGTTAGTATCAAGGCAAGTCCATGGTCGAAAGGAATATAATTGAATCTTGTTTCATAAAAAGCAGTTTTTTGACAATAATATGAAATTTCCTTTGTTTATATATATTAGATCCATTTATAATTAATAGAATTTGGAAGAATTTTAATAAAACAACTTGGACAAATAATAATTTTTAAAATTTCTTGGTAGAATAGTTTTTGGGTGAGTTGTGTCGAAGGACCTATCCAGATGGTTCCGGCGCGCGTCAGGTGTTTAAAACCATTGTGGGATCTGATAGTGAGGTGCTGGCCAGACCCCTTATATAGCTCCCCCTTGGATGCTTTACATTCATAGTTCCTTGAATAATGCGAGTATCCCACGAAAGTCTGGGAATTTTCCTTCTATTCCTTTCAGAGTGGTTGTTTTGCCATATATAAATATATATATATATTATATATAAATATATATATATATATATAAATATAATATATACATATATTATATAATATAATATATATATATATATATATATATATAATTTTTTTATTATCACACTGGCGATACCACCAAGGCAGGGTTGCCCGAAAAAGAAAACTTTCAATCACCATTATCACTCCATCACTGTCTTGCCAGAAGGTGCTTTATTTACAACTACAGTTTTTTAAAACAGCAACATTAACACTCCCTCCTTCAGAGTGCAGGCCCCCACTGTAACTTCCCATCTCCAGGACTCAAGTCCCGGCCTGCCGTTTTCCCTGAATCCCTTCATAATGTTACATGCTCACACTTGTCCAACAGCACGTCAAGTATTAAGAAACCATTTGTCTCCATTTCCTCCTATCAAACACGCTCACGCATGCCCTGCTGGAAAGTCCAAGCCCCTCGCACCAAAACCTCCTTTACCCCCTCCCTCCAACCCTTCCTAGGCGAC